AGATTAGCAACCCCTAACGATGCAGAAGGATCGTGAGCTCAAAAGACGGTCATCTGTTCGTGTGACGGATGTTAACAAGGATCGACGACGGTCTGGTGAATTAGAAGTGGAAAAGATTCTCGATTTAAGGGTCGTTGATGGTAAAGAAGAATTTTTAGTCAAGTGGAGGTCCTGTGATGTGTGAGTTATGTTTTCTTTAAACAATCCATGTTAGGTTACTCGCTTTTAAGCCTCGTAGTTTGAGGTTTTGCACGCTATTGAAAAGCATCATGAATGTCATTTGCTGTATGGGCTAATTGTTAAGTTTACTACGGACAGTTCATTTACTATTCCAATCAAGTAATAAGTACACGATTACTCTTATCATTTACCTCGAATTAGATCTGGACATGGCCGAGGTTGTTTTCGAAAAAAAAAACAGATTTTCAGAAAAAAATTCCTTAGTTAAATGGATTGACGAAATCGTGACCCACCTCAAATATCGATTTCTGACCTGCTTCATGCGTTTAAAAGCAATGCACTATCCTGTAACTATGCGTAAAGGGGGAGTACAATTGCCACAAATATGTAGCTAACAGCCCATCACCGAACAAACAGTCCAAGACTAGGTCCCTGGAATTTCGACTCATGTAATTGATTTGCATTATTTTAGATCTGAAAACTCTTGGGAGCCCTTAGAAAACCTTAATTGCCCAAGAAAATTACGGGCATTCTTTATTCAACGTTCGCTCAACGAACAGGTAAAGGTGGCTGTCAAGGTGAGTCAAACAGCATTATTGTGTTTTTGCGGCAATCTGCTACAACTGTGGGACAACATTTCCCTTGCTGCGCTTCTGGATGACTCTACCACTCGAATGTCCCGATAAGAAGCTGTGTATAGTAATTTTGAACATATCACACAGTTGTGGCAAATATCCCCCGAAGGAGGAAAGTATCCAATGTTGCAGAGCTAGTCCAGGAAATGTCTCAGGATACCTTACGATCCGCTAACGTTCATAGCATTCAGACCACAAAATTACAGGGTACTTCCTGGCTGGCCTCTACAACCGGGGAATTAATTGTTGCCTTACCTTCCAGTTGGTTTACTCGCAATGACGAAATCCATCGTCCATTGGGTTTGCTATTTAGCAGTTGATGACCCTGAATTCCAACGTTTTCCTGTCCAGAATTAAAAGTGTTAGTCGAATTATCTGATTGTGCCTTGATTTTTAGACCAACCCTGAATCTCCGTACGGGTTCGACCGTGGTTTAGCCCCCTCTTATATCTCCATGGTTACCCGCCAAGACGGTGAACTTTACTTCCTCATAAAGTGGAAGGGTCTTGCGGAGATGGATGTTGTACCTGCATCACAAGCTAACGTCAGATGCCCACAAATTGTAATTGGTTTTTACGAAAGTATACTTTACTTTAAATGAACTCCTACACACAGATATTCGTGTCCGTTTTATGTCCCTTCGGTCATAATAACCAGTTATATTTTTTTATGTCTTTGAAATAACATTCTCACAGCAAAGATATTAAATGTTTACTGCGGGCCCCAGTACAGTCATACGGGTCTTAGCACAGAATAAAACGTCTACTGGATCCTGGGCCTTCTGACATACGTCGAACCCGCAGATAGCGGTCCCATACATTGTAAAATCCGACGTCTGTGGTTGGGTTACATCTTGGACAGAACTAAGAATGTCATAGTCGCTACCGTTTGATACTACGTGTGGCGATCCAAATGAGATTAATCCATAGGTGCTAATGATTAAACAACCCTACAACAGATGCTCATCACAAAAGTATTTACGTAGAGTACGACACCGCTCAATATTACAATTTCGCTTCGTTTACTCGAATACAGATGAATGTAACACCCTTTAAATACAGGAGTAAATCCTAGGGCATAAGAGCCATAGAAGTAATGCGGAACGATTGTCTGCAAACAACCCCACCAAACCAACTTCTATGGTTTCAGCACCACTTCTCGATACTTGCCTCAAGGCACTGAGGTCACAGTGGCGATATCTGCATATGAATCGTAGCAAAATATGTATTGAATAATCACAGGTACAGGTTTACAAACAAAACCCGAAGTCTTCGAGTGGCGCAAATCCTGATCATGCTGAGTCCAAGTGAACAACAAAACTTTCCGTGGTCTGTGGATACATTTCGCTGATTAATTTGGCATTCTTGGTTGCAATGAATTGAACCTACAAAGGACCAAGATTATTTACATAGTGGCCAATTGCATTACACATCAAAATCTACTTCATCGTGCAACAAAATTAATGAATTCATTTTAGAGTTGTAATGGAAATATGCCTTTACTAATCAGTTAAACAACGTCAACGAAATGTGTGGAAATGCAAGAGTACACAAGTTATCGTAGACGTGGGTCAGTGCGTGGCCAATGATGCCAAGTACTTAGACAGGGATAATCACGATATTATTTTAGGATCAAAAACAGTTCAAGCCACAATGTGAGCGTTATCATCATTCATTTGAAACATATGGTCATTCGCATTTTTTGCAGCACCTGATGCTGCACAATTAAGTAAGAGAAGCCCAATAAGGCCATTGGCAGACGCGGAGTAACAGCAAAGTAATTATCGTACAGACTGATTCATTGTGCATATTGAGCAGCAAACAGGAACACTGAAAACAAGGGACAACCTTAAGAATATCAACAAAGATTTTCTTGAAGCAATAACTGGCATTGAAGGTTCAAGCAAAGAAGTCACTAGGTTAGTCCACTTAAAATGAGATACATTACCTAGATACTAATAAAACACTACCTCATCAATTTCAGATTGTGGTGGAAGCTGTCCCGCTAGGATTGAGGAAGGATTGCCAGAAGCTCTAGCCAAGGCGGAGGTTGAGTTTGGGATGTTGATTTTTTCTGAAAATTGGGTTCTAAAAAAGGCAATGCACATAGAGGCGACCCTGTGCCAGATAGATTCGTTAAATTTTGGGCGTGTACATTAAGTGTTATAAGGGAGTGCAATATGTCAAATCGACACTTCTGTCAAACAGCTCTTTCGCACGTACATATCGAGAAATAACATCTGAATACAACCTGGGATACATGAGACTGAATTAGTAGGAAGCAAATCAAATCCTACAGTTTGAAATTAAAAATACAGCCACGAATACTTGGCTTTTTAAATTACTTGTGAGACTGAAGAGAACCTAAATTGGCTCGCGAAATTTATTGGAAATGAAAACAGATAAGCTGGTTTCCCTAAAAGTAATTTGGATAAGAATTGGATATTTAAATAATCACCCCTTTCTATAAAAAAGTTGAAGAATTTGACATCTTAAGTATAAGAACTTGAGCTAAATCGAATAACGTCACAATCGGGTAATTATTTCTATTATAGCAAGCTTTATTCAATAACAAGTTTACCAATTTCGAAAATATACCTCCAAGGGATTAGAATATTTACCACATGTTGGGAGTGAGATCCATGCAAAAGTCTAGGGAATCACATTACTGGAAAATAAGTGATCGCAAATAATGGGCCATCAACACTAAGGAATGTAAAAGTAAAATACATTAGTTAATAAAGAATTGTGTAATTAACTCAGCTTACGCATAATATTCTGCTCGAGCGTCATAGTCTTGCTGTTCGAGTATATTAACATCGGTAACCCCAGCATCAACGACCTGACTAGAGAGAGAAGTAAAAAAAAACGACAATAGTAATTGTTGGCGTATTAAACAAAACGAGAAATTAAACTTACGTTTCGACAACCTTGAGGATATCTGACATCATGTCTGTCACATCACCAACCGGCTGATGAAATTCTTCATTCAAAGCTGGGGCGCTTGAAGGACAACAAGAACAGAGTGAATGATTAGTCACTGTTTGAAAGCTTTGTAGTCGAGCGCAGCCTATTACCGTGAATATCCACTTAACTGTTCCTTTCACTTCATATTCAATATTGTAATAACTTTACTCTAAAGCCATGTCAGCATAAAAAGGGAGAAGTCCCAATTTTAAAATACCTTTTCCCCATCTTTGTGAGAAATTGGTTGTGGTAGTGATGGAAATCACTTCTTATGTTGAATTACAGAAAACAACAGGACACAGAACATGTACCAGAGCGAATAAAAAGCAACTGCACAAAGAAATTCGATCAATGGATGTATGCACAGGTAATGAAAGGGGTATAAACAATGAGGCATTTTAATAACAACACCAAATTATCCTCTTATCTAAGCCTGTGGGAGCACAAAGGAGTATGTATTAGCTATACAGGACACAATTCTAACAATTAAAGAGCACTTGACAGTGCTGGAAATAACAAAGAACACAGCCACGTCAATTATTGCCCATTCAGTAGAAGGTAGTACTCTAATAATAACACGAATGGAAGCATACTCTGGAAAGGTTTGCTGTGTGGCTTCATAAGACTGCGCAGGATCCACAATTAGATGCTGTGTTTCTGAATCGGCCTGAAATACAAAAAAATACGTATCAGAGCGGCAAAGCAACCCCATCAAATCGGAAGTACAAAGTCTGTTTAAATTAAGGAGTGGCAAAACTGCAAACCACAAACAGGAGGATGGGACACATAAAAAATGGAATAATATGACCTATATAATCGTTTCATGAGATAAAGAACTCGTGTAATCAGATCCCCGTTCGCCGAATAACAATTTGAACAAATCAATTGAAATTTGTAGATATAAGTCACATTCAGCGATAGTTTAAATATATTACATAATAAGTTGTGATGGAAAAGCACCTCGATGGGGAAAAACGAATGGTACCAACTTACATCAGTCTCATGTGAGCCGTTTCCACAGCAGCGCGTGCATAGAGCCCCCATACCACTAAAATATTTCTTCGGCTTAAAAAGCTATTCAGTTTAAGATAAAAAAGAACCAAATTTGTAGATAACACTTTTATTTGAAACACGAAAGAAACAGAAGAATCCAAGGTCCTGGATATGGCTGTTCAATGCCCATATCTTAACATTTAAATTATTACATATATATTGATGCTTACTTTTGGAACTCCCATTCCCTATTATCAAGCGGACATACCTGTCGCGTTTTAAGCCAGCGTGATATGCAATGAAAATGAAACGCATGCTACAAAAGCAATTAGACTATATACACCATACATTACAGTGACCCCAAGCAACTGTGCACTCCTCGGTTCCGTCAGTTGCATTGTTTGCCTGACATTCAATGCCTAGACACAAGATACATATGAAATGGTGACATGAACAAACATAAATCCATGATATGGTTACGGCAAATAGCGCAATTATCAACCACGATATCCCATGCCCAAAGTGCAACTGCATTCCACTTTTTAATTTCGAACCGCTTGTTTGATGAACTTGCAACGGGTCTAATGGGGCCCTCATCAACCTCCATTCCGGACATTGTGAACAATAATAAAGTGCAAGACAACACACATAAAAGCAGACGTAGACCAATCAAATTCAAAGAAACTACAATTCATTCAAGAACTTCAAAAGACAAAGACACTCACATTTGTTTCAAGAAAACTTAAACCGTCTCAATTAAGAGCCCTTACTTTGCTAAAGCATCAAAAATTAATTTTATTAGCAGCTAGATGAGAAATGATGCCTAACGTTACTGAGTTAAAACGGCGTTGATTTCTTTACATATTTGCAGTGTCTGGCTAAGCAATACATACACTCCTCCAGTTAAAAGCCTGCGACAACTTCTTAATTAAAGGTAATGAAGGTGATCGCGCCACGCCAGCCAAGTGTCTTTGCGTGGGGATGAGTAGGTGTGGGTGTAGGTGACTGCGTACTGGAGCCGATAACACATGGATGAGACACTGACACCAATAATCCTGTAAGCAAGCAACACTCACGTGTAAATATCAACAAACCACTACATATTGGCCAAAATGTTGTCCTACATAGCTGGTAATTACCAGATTATTATAAGAACTATGTCGAACAACTTGCTAAGCCACCAAACAATGTAGTAATACGAAAAACAACATATGGTGACTTTTTTCATAGTGTAGGGACATTTGCAGTGCGACGTAAATTCGGCAACAAACAGGGATCCTTAAAACTTGTATAACAACCAATGCCGATATGACTATTTTATTCATCAGAACTAACGATGTTGAGAAATTTACATAGCCAGAAAACCTGAAGGTCAAATTTGACTGTAGCATCATTCATTTGTTGGTAGCAAGAAGGAACATTGTAATTCATGCGGAAACAAAGAATTGGGCCTTAAAGGACCTTTTAATAGTTGGCACAAGCTGATTATTGGAAACAAATGCGGTGTTATGTAATCAATGCAGTAGGTAAATATCGGCAATCTGTAATTATATATTTAGGCCCAGATAGATCCTAGTTTCTTGCAAAGCTAAAATGTAAAATAAAACCTTTTTATTGTAAATAAAACTCCTAAGAGCTAAAGTGAACGATGCATCTGATTAATTGCGGACGCGGGTCCCTGCAGTTGATGGAACATGTCTGCTGTAACGCGCCTACCGAGCGGAGACCTAAATCGGGAGATCACTGTTAGCCCGTCCCTCTTAGATAGCCACGCCATCATGGTAAGCCAGCGGGCACAGGATAGAAGAACCGGATGTATTCCATACTGCCGCCTACAAACTCAGAGGGCTAGAGCTTAGGGAGGGTTAGAGTGGGGAAAGGGATGGCCGTGAGAAGGGTTGGTGTTGCCCTCGGACTCACGGACGTGCCTTGAGAAAGGCGGGGGTGAGAGAAGGGAGAGGAGGACAAAGAACAGGCCAGACCGGCGTGCGTGGGTCGAATGGCGCGAGTCAAACTGCGATGTTTTAAATGGATATAAACCTTTAGTTGAAGTAATATCAATCGCTGCGTAGAGGTAAATGTATTTAAATTGAGATAGCTTGTGGAAAGAAATTAAAAATAGCTAAGAATAAAAAAAACTATTGATTAGTATCTCCACACATAACAATTTTCGGTTTTTGGAAATTTGACTCCCAACAGGTTTACCTTGAAAATATCTGCATACATTTATCGAATTAAAATTTTGAAAGTGAATGAAAGAAATATGTTGGGTTCTCAAAACAGAATATTTTGGAACATGCAAACAGCTTTGTATTTGATAGCAGATGCCACATTATTGGGCTGCTGTCAAAAATAATTAACATTATTGCTGAATTATTTATTTCTTATTTATAAATTATTAATAAGCAAAACTCAGCTGTAAAGATTCACAGTAAATTCTCCTTTCAAAGGATGTCAAATTTTGTAGAATATTTTATTAAAAGTTAAAATTTGGTTATGTTTGTTTTTTTAAGGAAATTTTTTGACCTTATATCGGCGGTTGATCCCACTGCACGAAGCTGTTCGAAATTCGTTGGGCTGTTGAGTGTTAAGTGATGCCTGGACCTGGAAATAAAAACAAAAGGGAGAAACTCGCATGTAAAAACAAATCAATTTTGTCATTCTTCCCCCGACTGATGTCCTCTGTAACCCCACAAAAAAATACTAATGAAGCGACGTTAGTTTCGGACTCGAATGTGGCCTTGGCATGTGGTGATTTAGCTGCCGCTGACAGTTCCTATTGTAGTAATCAATCCGTTACTGCAAAGCCTAAAAACAAGTGCCCTTATTATAAGTGGATTCCAGGTGGGTACAGCTTAATGTGGAATATTGTCCCTAAGGCACTCCGTTCACCGTAGACGCATTCAGGTATGGTTTGATACGGGGATGTTCTGGGTATTTCCTTTCACATTTCCATTATGACCATTATGGCGGACTGTCTTCCAAATTTAAAGGAACAATTTACTGTAGCAGGGCAGGCTCTATTGTTTTTACTTCATTCTTTGTAGATCACTGCTAACCTCGTCAGAAAAACTTTTGGCCAGTCGGTATCTGTTGTAGTGTTACCAACAAACGAATTTGTGATTGTGAATGGGTATGAAATACTTCTTATTGATGCCAATCAGTAAGTTACGCCCGTGTTTCTTCACGTTGTATACTTGTAACCCATATGCATGTTAGCTGCGTTTGTTCAATCCATTTTATCCGTTGTTTTTACAAACTTGCCATACATTTAGAATTTACGTAACTGCTTACGTACCTGTTCTGATTGTTCTGCAGATCCTTTTATAAGAACTGATGAGATTTCGTCTGTGACCACTGAAGACCTTAATGAAATATTAAAGAAATAGTATTTTATTAACATAGAAATCATCATTTGGAACTAAAGAAACTAAACTGAACAAAACATAATCAGAGAACAGTAAATTTGCATGAAGAATGTTTGTGATATCTGTCGCAGATCTTTTTGCACTGTAGTGTATTGCAATCATGGGTGTCCATTCATCGGGGACAATGAATGCTATTTGATTCAGCAATTTCTATCTTAATCCTAGTTTACAGTAAAATTTCCTCTCAGCCATTAAATGTATTTTGAACACAGTTGACAATTTTGAATTCACTGACTACCACAATGGGTTTTTTAACGTTTTTCTGAACCTAGAAGCCCCGATTTTGTGCCCTACTTGTCGTTTCAGTCTTGACAGAAATCTGCCGAAATTTTGATAAACGAGGCGAGTAACGTCATTGAATGCACATAAATTCGTTGATCGTAGGTCTTAAACAATAAATATTTGGGATGCTACGGTCCTTTTAAGTGCTGATGGACGTTGGTTTCTTTTGAACATTCTTAATTAGGACAGGGTACTTCGTCAATCATATAGACCCATCTACAGCATGGCTTGAGCCGAAACGCCCGTTAAGTGATTCGTCTGCATTAACATTAGGGGGCCGCCTCTTTGAAACATTAAAAATCATTGTTTCTTGTGTTTCTCACGTGTCATTTTCTTCTAGTGAGGCATTGATTTTTAAAAATATTTGACAGAATGGCTAGTTTCAGGTTATCGTATGCCTCGTATCACGTATTTGGATGCATTTTCTTTCCTAGGGCGTCTAACATGTGTGACTGCTTATTTCTGCATGGTTGGTTTTGACCCCTTTTGTTTACCTCTCATTGTTTTTCTCTCATCATAAACATTAACAGTACCTTTATGCAGTTTTTTCCTCTTTTTTTCCAGTTGCCCTGGGTCCGTCATGATACTTTTGCGACTACCGGAAGGGGGTGTACACCTGCACACTGGTGACTTTCGAGTACACTCCAGTATGCTACAGGCGCCGAGTATTTTAGCGGATTTTGTTAAAACTGCCATCCCGAACTCCCGTATCGGCACAGTTTTCCTTGATACAACGTAAGCTTGAAAAGAGTAGTTACAGCTGTCATATAAGCCTGATTTTCAGGTGAAAAGTTGGTGCTTGCAAAAATATTCCTTGGTTTCCACCAACGCTGAGACACTGCTGTATTTAATGTACATAGGCGAAATCTCTAAAGGCTTTCATCAACTTGCTAGGCATCAATATAAAGATAATAGGAATCGATTTGGATTACTCCACTTTACTTCGGTGAATTACTGTTTATGATATTGAGACGTTTATGACAAACCACGTACCTTTTCACTATTTAGAATTTATGTGGTAATCAATGCCTATACATAAAACCGTCCCCTCAATTGGACTATTGGTATCTCAAATTCTGTCAAACGCGTGCTAAGCTAATGTGGCATGCAAATTGCGTAGGTCAATAGCCAGCCGTTAGCCTCCCAAATGGCAACTCTTCTCCAGATACATCAAATCGTGCTCTGAGGATTTTTAGTGTACTGAATTCCAAAATGACTTATTTTAGCTTGCGCATCGAGTTTCTGCATAAGGAGGTAATCACGTTTGATTTTTCATGAGGGATTTGGTTCTGCAGATCCCTTTGGTGGGCCTAGCACTTGAGAACTTGGAAATTTTTGTATGTTATTAAGGGCGCGAAGAAACAAATAACCGTCCACAAAATCAAACTCCTTACGCCAAAATACCCGTCATTCATTAAGCTTGCAATAATAAACTGTGGCGATTGGCAATATCGTTCTTAGCGTTTGTGCTTTTGGTTGTTATTCTAAATCGAAAACACCTGTTATACGTAGCAACTTATTAGGATAAAAATACTAACATTTGGAAAATGTTGCGTTGGTTAGCATTCCGTTTGGTCTTAAAGAAATCGATTTTTGAATGCGTAGGTTGTGGAATAATTACTGGTTAAAATATTTTTTGGATTACTCGTTAATTATAATTTTTTTGGATATTTGTCGTTACTTCGAAAGTAGGCTTTATGTGTCTTGAAATAAGCGAACCTGTGTTTACCAACTGATTGAGTCATCCTTCGTACAAGTGATTAACTGTTCCTTTCCTACGAATGCATTATTACGATAGCATAAAAAAAACTACAAGCAAATTGTACAAGTATTTCATTCCACATTTTCTCAGGTTCTGTGATCCGTATTACAAATTTCCAGAGCAACAATTGGTGATTGCAGCGGCCGCACAGGTATCTTTCCAGGCCCTACTTAGCCGCCCTGATACTCTTATCCTGTGCGGCATGTACTCCATTGGAAAAGAACGTTTCGTCCTCGGTAAGGCATTTGCTTGACTTGATTCGGTACAATTTCTAATGAGCGCTGCTTGTTACCTCAACTCACTCTACCGATGTTAAGAAGTGAATTACTGCTTTCATGGCAAATTATTCTTTCACCGCTGATACTATATCACTGTGCACATGCTGTTCTTTCGAATCATGCGAATTAGTGAGTGAATTTGTTTCGCTTGCTTCAGGAAATGTGCTAACAGTCTTGCAGATTTGTGATTAGTTGATCGATTTTATGCTTATTGTAGTATTGAGTCGTTGTTGTTTCGTTTTAAGTCTGTTTCAGTGATATGTGATTTGGAAGTGTAGAGGGTGCGCATGGCCTAATTTCTTAGATCGATCCCTTTTTATTACATAAATCAGCTTCTTTCAGCTGCTGCGCCTCAAAACTCAAATAAATTAGTATGGCAGAATGCCTTAATTTCGGTCTCACTAGTGTCTTGCATACTCAGATTGTCAGGTGGATCATTCAAGTAATAAAAATCATAGACGTCCTGCCTTCATATTTGCCTGCCAAAATGTGTGCATACCCTCCTACTTGCCAGGCGGAAACTGGTCATGAGGCTAGTCTTGTGGCATCTGCACAGTCGCCCTGGGCTCATCCCAGTACATAGGCAACGATCACGTTTGTTCCCCTAGTCACTGGGTTTCGTTTTCGTCTGGTTTATAGCTAGTCTCGGAAAGCGTTTGGTCCTTGTCTGATCTCGACTTTATTCAATGCAATGCCCCTGGTTAAATAAAACAGGCATGTCGGGTTTTTAAAAGAAGTAGGCGGTGAATTTAGTGTTCAGGATGTTCGTAGAAATTCGACATGATTTGGCAATAGGAAACGGAACTTTATCGGCGTAATTTTGTAAGTAACGAGTTTCATTGTGCAGTAAACTATATGTATCACCTTAAAATGTGAAGAATTCAAGTTATGTTTGAAAAATAGGTTATAATTTGAACGATGATGCTTCACTTGCGCGTGTTTAAGTTGCATATAATTTTTTGAGGAAACATTCTTTATAGAAAGAGAAAGCGTCCTAGTTACTAGTGTCTTTATGGAGTGGTGTATATGAGTGTCGACATACGTGAAATTCGGACGTGTTTACACCTAAGTTCCCCTTGAGGATCTGTCGTAAAATCTGTTAATGGAATTGTACTTTTGTTGCAGAACCCATCTGCTGCTGAACGTTTCTTTAAGATAAGCGTATTGCTGAGAAAACCAACGGTAAAGCTCCAACCAGTGGCTGTTAATTTAGTAAAAACCTTATACCAAACTGCCTCTGAAAGTGGCACGCTCTCTTTCGATTCCTGGTAATTTCCGAACAGTATTTGAAATGTGCAAATAACGTTTTCTTCAATCTTTCTAGTGTGTCACAGTGCAGATGCTTCAACCTGTTATTTTCCATTTTTAAGTAGCGACAGCAATGCCTTGCTGAACCCGTCGGCTCAGGTAATCTGTCACAACCTCCGTCGCATTGCCAATAGTATCATTTGGACATTGTTCTAATTATCACTTGTCTGACGGAAAAATAGTGCTTAATGAGCTTGAAATACCGGCGTAGAAAGGATTGGCCACCACAAACCTTCAAGCATGTTGTAGGTGCTAGTTCTGCAAGACTCAGGGTGGACTTAACTACCCTAACTACTAAGCGCGTGGGCACTTTCTTTAACTGCTGGTCACCCAGACAGTTAACGTTTTGATGACGAGAATTTACATAGCTTATTTATGATTATTAAGAGATGGTTGCGCCTTCATATAATTTGCCACTTTTTTATTTACAAATTGGTCAAACTCAAAGGTCGTCCCTTTATTGCTTGAAACGGCGCACGTTTACTACGAGACATCAGTAAATACATAGTTGATCACCAAAGTTTTATTATTCCATTATTCCAGAATCAACCCAAATGAATTATTTCCGATAATGGCGAAATCTCTCACAATGTCCACTATAATTTCCTCCTATACGGTTTTTTATCGTCATTTTTACTAAAGCCCCTTAGCATTCACTTTCTCTTGATCTAACCTTAATAATTCATACCATCATAAGTTATTCGGTTGCAGCTGTTAAACATTGTTCATTATTGTTTTATTGGTTTTTAGGTTAACTAGAGCAAACTATGATGGGGATTTGTCGTCTTTGCCTTTATTAACGATGCTCAAACATGACATATGTTCGTAAATTTCATTTTCTTTCCTTTTTGAACAGGTTTAGCCGAGGAATTGAATGTGAAGGTGTGGCTTCCCAACAAGCAGCGCGGGCTGGTAACGGCGGCGTCGGAAGGCGGTTGCGAGGTCTGCCGGGCCCTCGTGGCGCGTTGCGTCGCCTCCAAGGACGAAGCGCGTATCCACGTGGTCGACATGAACGAGCTGAACCCTCGAGCGGTTCTGAAAAACCTTCTTCCCATGGGTAAAAATATCATCGCCTGGAAGCCGTCTGGGTGGATGTACAACCCGTCTAAGAAGGCAACTGCTGCAACAATCAAACGTTTGCCCTGTCCCGCCGAGGCTTTCGAGAGTCTACGCGAATTCATATCGGTTGAAATGGTCGCGAAAAATGTCGTCGTCTTGGGTACGTTTTCAGAACTGGGAGTATTATTACCCACTATCCAATTTTACACCACTTCCACGGTTTTCGACATCTTAACAGTCTTGGCAGTTTTCTTCAAAGTTATGTCTGTGATCTTGTAAAGTCGTATTGGCTAAATTATTGTCCCACCAAATCAGACCCGATTTCATTCAAATTCGAGTCATCCAACTCACGCACCTTCGATAAAGAGGTAAAATACACTGCTTAAATAATGTTACGTCTGACTTGCGTAATTTATCCAAAACGGTTGTTGCAATGCAACGAGGTGTATTTCAACATGAATCTGGGGTATGTGTCATTTGCACGTGACTATATCAGTCTGTCTTTTTTTCGGAAACTGCATAGGATTTATAAAAAAAATAGTACAGCTCATTTTCACGGTTTTTGTAAATTTAAAAGCAATTTTGATAGTTTTTAAACGATAGTATTTCTTAGGAGTATATATTTTAACAAAGGATAAAGTGATTGGTCTAGGGCAAGTCTTCGAAATTCTCTCGATTAGAATTTTGAACCATTAGTTTCATTCGCATAACTAACCGACATTTTGCAAACTGCCTGTAATGCGTGGTCTTCGATGTAAAGATTTCCCAAAACACAGAGCCAACGCCCCGATAGTTAACTCAATTAATTGTCGTGGCAGGTTTGAGTAGGGTGCATCGCCTCATTTTATTGAAACACTGCAAGAACTAGGGGTAATTTTGGCTGGATTGAAACGAGATGCGCAGGGCCTTAAATCTCAGCTTATGCGGTTTCTTTTTTACGCATCTCAAAGGTATTATTTCATACATGTAGGTGCTGCCTATAGTGAACACAGTAGCTTCACGGAGCTCAAGGACTTCATTACTGCACTGAAACCAATGAAAGTTCAGCCGACGGTTTTTGGCGGTTCAGCTAAAGATGCACGAAAACACATTGACAGTTGGCTTCAGGAAGAGAAATTACTAAAACTACCCTCTGAAAACTCGTGATCAGATGACAAGGCCCTGATTCCGAAGATTTATTTGGATTTATGTATATGTATATATATACTTTTTTACTCCCTGATGAGTAAGCGATTTTGCAATCAAATGTATCAATTTTACATGGCACTTTTGATAGGGAAAATGAGGTGCAGAATTTTGCGCTTAGCTGGACTATACAGCCTTAGTCACCTTTGCTTGATGCCGTGGAAATGCTTTAAAAATCCCTAGGCCGTGGCTGTCGTGAAAGTAGTCATTTGAAACCCTGATTGGTGTACTTTTATCATTTGTGATGTATGTGGATCAGAACCGTGAATGTACTCATGTCTGGAGATCGACGATTCCATGGTCAGTGCATGTGCTGCCGCGTAGTTTTGTTCAAACTAAATAAACTCTTTCAGAATTATAAGTAGCTTCAAGCACAACACCTTGGTGCGAATCCCCAATTCAACTCGAAGCTGTTTGGATTATCAAGCCATGCGAAAGAAAACGGGAGTCAACAAACAGCGACCCATGGTAGTCAACACCATTGACATTGTCGGTGCGAAATTGCCTGTAATCCAATTTGATCGAGGGGAATTTGTGTTGCCTCCTAAAACCTTGAAAGCGCGGGGTTATGCTCTGGGATGTGTACTTTAAAACGATGAATTGCCGACTGACTGAGAACATTGAAACCGTGTCATAATGTGAAAATAGTTTTTTTACTTCGGATTTTCGAAACGAACACTCGTTGGCCCTAATGTTAATTATGAGAATTGTACTAGTGACTGCCGAGGATCGTGTCCATTTTCGTAGGTAGCTGAAGCATGAACATGCGCCTTTGCTCGCATTTCCTTTAACGTCGTAGTACTAGCGGACATTTACCTAGGTGTTTCGTGGGCCAGCACGGTCTTGAAATGGATAAACATAAGATATTTTTTTGGGGATTGAGATTGCAATTAACAATGCTTTGAGACGTTTGTGTCGATCATACTCTTGCTCTTGAGACAGCTAGGACGTGGGCCTTTCGATTTCATAGCTGTGGTTCCAACTAAGAAGATAAAATATCTGGTTTTCACGATAAATTGAGTGATCAACAGTTCTCGGATTGGTACGAAAAAATGAACTGAGAGACTAAGTGCTGGCAACGTGAGTACATTTTACCCTTTAAGGCAACAAGAACACACTCCAAAACTGGAATTACGGACTCCGCATGTTCTTACTGATTGGAACACACTGAATAATGTTCCCACTGCCCATTACCTCTCGTCTGTCAACGAACCGCCCAAATTATTTTATCACTGGAGATTAAATGTGGATTCTGTAAAAACGTGATCTGTGTTAAAGGATAAAGATTTATATCTCGTGCGATTGCACAGAGGTAACATTTTCACGATTTTTTTTACAAGAAACTTACACAACTCAATCTCATAAAAATGCAAGACGTCTAAATTTGTTAAATCGAAACGGCATTATCCTTCGCTGTGACAACACAAGACCACATGTCACTCAAGAGACACAGCAAACGTTTAGGGAGTCGGAATGAAAACCCTCTAGCACCCACCGGGTTGTTCTCTGCCTTTCTCGGGATTTCATCGACTACGTCCTCTGTGAAGTGATTTGATTGGTGAAAAAAATTGGTAGTGTGGAAAGAGTCAAAAGTACCTTGTGACTTTCTTTGAGGCAATATCACACAGCTTTTGTGAAGAAGGAAACCAAGAGCTTGTAAGGCATTAGAGATAATTAATGTAAATAATGGAGAGGACACTGTTGACGTATAAATACTTATTTCCATTAAAACGCGCAGCATTCGACTTGGTTAGGCTACGAATTTCTGCAATCGCTGAATTAATTTCGCAAAATTATTAATGCGCATTCTGGCATAGCATAAAAATGTTAAGCAAGCAAATTATAAGTCAACAGAGGTCGAAAGTCAGTGACCAAGAACTGAAGAACATCTTATTATGATATCTTCAGGTAATAGGTAAAAAAAGAAAAATGAATTCTACACAAAAGTTAAGAAAGACTGTGAGTGGGTAGCAGTTCAGGCGCTTTTTAGCGAACGTTATGAGGCGGGATTTGGAAGCTGATGGTGGATGTGGACTACATCGGGGCGCACAGACAGAGACGTCTTCGGTGGGCTAATGGGGGGCCGTGTCATCAGGCGTGTAGGAACGGTTACAAGTGTCTATGGAGACGGAGTTGTAAACAGAATTGGTTTCAAGAGGAGAGCAGCCCCAATGGTGCGGTCGCCGTATCATTAGTAACTCCCCTTCCGCTGCCAGACGCGCGTTTTCTTCGAGAGCTGCTCGACGTTCGGATTCCTCCAGTTTCAGAGAAAGTTCATTTACCTTTAACACGATAATATACAAATTTTGATGAACGACGCTAACACCACCGTCCCTATAAACCTCTTAGCATCTAGCTATTAAGTCGACTGCTTTTGGGTTGGCTAGACAAGCAGTATGTTATTTAAGATATCGCGCGTTCTGATGTAGAACCAGTAAGTTCTCAGTGCTTGTTAGACATTTTTTGATTTAGAAGGCCAAGCAAGTAGTGAGCGCTTCAACACAATTGGACAAGAGCGGGTCACAAGCGAACTGAGCTATCAAGGTGCTTCGCTTGTACGTAGAAAAAGTAGAATCCATGCAATTCTCAACCCATGTTCAAGTGGCCTACTAGACCACACCACATGACAATCCATTGGAACATACTCGAAGAAGCGACGGAACGAAAAAAAGCCCAAAACATGGAAAATCTGCTCTCATATTCGTAATTCAACGAACTAGGCAGTAATGATTAATCGAAATCACTTGCAATAAAGCGATGAAAGGAAAGCAAAAATTAAAGTGTTGGCCCAAAAGAACTCCCTCACCTAGAATTCCGAGAGAAATTAGAGTTTGACGCTATTCATGACGAATAGAACGGAAATGAGGATTCGACAAGCTATTTATCTAGTCTTGAAAAGCCTTCCCACCAAAAGACGTGACAGTTATCAGATGTATAAGTAAGGTTAGCATCTAACCAAGTAAAGTTGAGCCAAAACTAACATACGACATTGAAACACAACTGATTGAAGCGGAAACTTCCAGAGCCTGCAAGCTTTTTAAAATTGTGTGATCCAAAATGCCTCGATATGATCATACAATTGGTTCAAACGCAAATTTTTTAGCTAGATGAAAATCAAGCCGACCCTTAAAGCGTGGACAAATTAGACGACTCATTTACGCGGGTACTTCAATAGGTTTTGCAGTTAATCGTAATTTACTGTGAATTATCCCTTCATTCAATGGACTTGACCTAACTTCAAGTTGACGCACAGGAGATGAACTTGTAGTGAATCGTGCCGATTCATATCCATTAACCCGTCGTCGTATTCACCGGCAGTGCGTCCTTTTTCGCAGCGTGCCCATTTGTTCATCGGCTCCTGTGCTGATACCGTCTCCACCATCCGCTTCACTCACCTTCCCATTTAGTAATTTGTACTTTTACAAGTTAACCCAAACTGTATTGGTCAATAACCGCATTAGTCATGCTCTACTTTGAATACACCTACACCATAACACAACTAGGGTGGGGCACCTAGTAGACGGTTGGGTCTCCACCATCTCTGGTTTCATTGATTGCCACGGGCATTAGCGGTTCAGGACCAAATGCCAGTGCCTACAACAACCTCATCTACAATATTACAACCCGGCGTGATGAGAAAGCTGGTCAGAATTACGGTTTCTTGTTCTATCATCTTGGATAGATGAGTTTCGGTACGTAATATTAAAAACAACAAAGTACTTTCAGTTCTAGACTGTCCAATAAGGCACAACTTCGCTTGTCAATTAGATACATATACGATAAAGAGAAACACTTCACACAATAAACAAAATTCAGTAAACGATCAAGAACGCATATAGATAGTGGGAGATTATTCAAAGTTATGCGTAGAACAAAAAGAAGCAACTTTGCCTGAGGCTGAATAATAAACGCTAGAGGTTTATCCTGCTTGACAAGGTGCATGTGAATTACGAATCTGGCAAATCTAAAGTATCAGCAATCAAGAGTGCCGTGGAGTTTAGAACTCAGTGTGTAATAGTTGATGCCCTAAACAATATGAATCCGAAAAAAACATGAGGAGGTAAACAACAAGGCCCATATTGTCCCATTGCCAAAATATAATCTACTTGCTTAAATGCCATACGGTGCCAGATTTTGTGGCGGATGAAGCGTAGTAAAAGGGGTTAAACCACTGATGTTCAAACAAAAAATAATATTTACACTTTATGGAGCATTAATAGCCAATATGCTACAAATGACCACAGTAACTGGGATAATCTCACTAACCATTTTTTCCAGCTCTGCCATACGTACTTCGCATTCTTCAAGTCTTTGGTCACTCGGCTTTGAATAATTCTTCAAGACAACGGTCGGTTTGGCCTCGTAGGGGGTTAGGTCCCTAAGAGGATTATTTCCATTTTCATCAACAAGGAAGACGAAGCCTTCTGTTGATTTGCGGAGGCGCGAGTCTAAACTTCGGCTTCGAGTAGACTTTGCATCTGCGGTAGGTCGATGGATCAAAAGGAATCGGTAGGGCTGAAGGGTTTCAAATTGTCGTTGCAGAGATGCTTGGCGCATTTCATAGATACGCAATTCTTCCTCACTGCCACTACAGATGTCAGCCTTCGCCTGATCTAGGTAGCCTACACAATGAGAAAAACAAATTGAGTTAACTATACTTATTGCTTTCTGAAGGAATTCTATCGCGTCGGCATAATTCTTCTCTACGAGGCCAATCAACTTAGATAAGTTGCACAAGGCCTTTTCGCTTTTCCGTTCATAGAAATTTGCCTAAAAAAAGGAAAACAGACTTAGAGAATATGCCCTGCGTAGACTGATTCGTTTAAAAGGGGAAATGAAAGGGAAATGCAAAACACTGAGGTGGAGATTCAGGGACAAAAAGATGCTAGACACTTCTTAGAGGGACTGATGCATTCCCGATAAATTTTAAGTTATCTAAATTAATGCACAAGACAAGAAGATCTCACAAATGTATCAAAATAATTATTTGTGTGGACGCATAGAAAATAGACAGATCCATAGCTCTTATAATATTCAACAACCATGGCCTCGAACCACTTACAAAATATTTGAACGTCATCTAATCTGCCCAGATGATTACAACCTCGTTGTTCTGAACAAACAATCTACCAATCAAGAATATATAGTGCGGTCATTAGTTAAACATGTCCGTTTTGTCCCAAATATTTCGCAATTTCTTTAAAAAAAGAATACGCGTATAATTGGACATCAAGGAAGAAACTCAAAGTGACTGCAATTCTAAACAAAAAAAGCCACAAATCCAAACAGTTTACCCAAAACTACTGCCTAACACCGACCTCATAACAAAAGTGCAGAATTGATTTCTGAGATTGATAATAAAGTTACCTTATTTAAGCTACTATTTGGTTCCAGTGAAATATCCATAACGCGACATAAGGACCACTTAGTGGAATTCTTGAAGGGTAACTACGACAGCTAACGTCATGAAATTGTGGGTCAACATCTGACCACATTAACCACTCACCAGACGCCCGACTCCTTAATGACCTTGATAAAACCAATGAGGAATGGTAAAATATTAGTGTCGTTTTAGTGAGGAAGCAGAGGCATAAAAACTTGTCCCATGGTTTGAAATTAGAAAGATTTAGAAGTATTTAAATGTTTTAAATATTTTTCTGCTGTAAAGGCTAAGCAATTTGCAAGTTTTCTCCGTTCCTTTTTGTTTATTTATTAACGCTACACCTTGACTCCCTCAGATTTCTGTCAAGGCCGTTTGGGGTGTTTTTCAGTCAGTGTTAATTTCCTCCTCACAACCGTTTTCTTTTTGACCTTGAAGCGAATGGGTTTTTACTTGTCAGTGCACTAAAATGGAATCGAATGCTGTGCAGGATACTTTAACTACTTCTCAGATAGCTTCTGTCTTCAACGTATCCTTCGAGTCTTTTCATTCTGGTGAAACTCCGAATACGGCGTCTGATGTTAGGAAGTTTTTCCCTCCGGAAGGCGCTGAGCTCTTAAATACCCCCACTGGTACTGATATACAGGGGATTACTAAAGCTAGCAGAATCTTTTTCCCAGAAGATAGCGGTAAGAAATCCTCTGTGCCACAGAATGGGCCTACTTTACATACAACGGAAACACTCCTGGATATTAAATCCATAAAACCTGAGCGTTCACCAGAACAAAGTGAGTTGGTTTTATTAATAAGTGTTTTTGTCATTGTCTTTTATTTAGGATTATTTTAATTTTGGTCTTTACCTTGTGTTACCCTCCGGTCTCAAACGAAACCTAACCCGGTTATAATCATGAATTTATTATTGTGTAGTTTAGAAATCTCGATGAGCACTTAATCGTTTTCATTACTGTATGTATTATGGATGTGATCTCAATGCAGTATGGTTTTAACAAGGTGGTCGGTTCTTTGTTTTTTTTTTTACTTCCTATGACGACGCTGATGTGACGAAATTTTCGCCACGTATTAGCGAATAAGGATTGTTGTTATCAATCCTGGAACTAATTTACTTACTTTGCATTTATCAAAATGTCACACTTCTGTTGATCTTGTAAATTCCTTCGGCACAGCGTGCAATTTTTCATTTTAGCTTGACATGAAAGAAACATGAGAATAATCCATTTACCATCCATCAGAAGACTGAATTATGCTTATTTGAAACGATTTTTAGTTCTTTTCATGGAAACGAGGATATTTTTGATTTTAAGGCCACTAACCTTGGAAATGACACACGACCTAGTTTATTTGTCCTGTGTCAGGCACAATCAAATCGATTTTGATTAAATGGTGTTATTTTTCACTAATAAAGCCGCAGCTTCACCCATGAGTTAATCCTGGATGTGTTAAAGCTGGAATTAAAATTCTATAAAGACATCAACCAGTGATATATCAAAAGCCTGAAGTTGTCCGACAACTTCTCTAGGGCGACCTTTCCTAACTTCTCGAGAATTTTGCCTACCTTATTTGACCACCAAAAGGCGACTATTTAAAGATCGGGTTCACACCGAATCGTTTCGTGGGCTTTTGGAATCGTTTGAGTGTGCGCGGGTGCCCCCACATCCGTCTTTCTGACACGTACAAATTACTCGTTTGGAGACATTGACTTGATAACTACCGGCAAGTTCGCAAGACCGTTGGAGTTACTATCCGTGAAGTAGATTTATCAGGTTTTCTTCTTGATTACCTCCTAAGTTGAGTGCTTGCTGGTATGCCGCACCGACTATTTGCGTAGCAGCATTTTAATAAGCACGGACGTCTCATTAGCTGAATGTCTCATGCAGCCACCTATTTTACATGTCTGTCGATGCTTGATGAGAAGTCTTCTAATTCACTATAGGATACACTACCCAACTGGACGTGGGGGGGGGAATCGAACTAGCCTTATCCAGTGCCAATAAGTGGTGTTTGGTTTCTGAAATTTCGGTAAGTGTAGTACTAAAAAGTATGAACCAACGGTGCCTGGTTTCGTAGTGAGATACTAAGCTCTGTAGAAGGACCCTAGAAAGTGGGGTGCGGTATTTTGAGTGTGCAATCACACCTCGTTTTGTGTGAAATAAGCTTGGTTTGATACTGCGTAGAAGAAGTTGCAGGGGACCGTTTTCGATTTTGGACTTGGCGCTTCCTCAAATTCTGTATCTGCCATAAAGTGGCACAGAAGAATCACAACAAAAAGCAGGACTTAGAGCACTTGAACACGGGACCATTACAAACCCCAGAGTAAATGCCTAGTGATCACTGAGAGCTGAGCACGCGTACGCTGTGCGCTGTCAATATTCCTACGAAGTAGCGGTACAAACAAGAGTCATAACAAGGGTTCCTGTAGGCTTGCGCATGAGCCCTTAGTTTAGGCTGAACCCACGCTTTGTGGGGTGAATGGTTACGTTGATTTGTTTGCTCACTTCAGCTTCACTTGTATTTCTTCTAATTATGGCACACTCTTCAATGCCAGAGTTCTCAGGAACTCACACTTTCACGAATATGTGAGATTTAGTAAGTACTTTATTGGGGATGGCATTATTGTGGTGATCAAGCGCTTTTTTCGTACATGACATGTTACCGCAATGCTGGTTTGACTCTAATGTCCTTTTTAAGTTCTACTTTTGTTGAGGCTCTAAGGTGTCTGATATTTAGGCGAATCAGAAATAGCGTCCCCGTCTTCTTTACATTTCTTCCTTGTTAAGTGCACAAATGTGTGGCTCCCGCCCTTAAGACTTCATCCAAACGTAGCTGTGCAAATCTCTAAAACTTCCGGTTCTCCTCTTACTATGCGCGTAATTAAACCTCAAAACGCTGTTTCAACCATTGTCGTATATCGCACTACTGTTTCTTGCACCGAATACGTACCTTCTGCGACAAAGGCATCTCTTTAAAAGATGCTTCGGATCCTGTTATTTTACCCATTCATGTAAATGCCGCTGATTTATGTGTGCCTAAATGCTCTTTAGTTGCACAATTTTGTTGTTCCTTCGCTATTGTGCTGAGCAAGTAAACAGGGAGAAAGACCACGTGCTATTATTACTTTTACCACCGAGCGCCATATGCTGTCCACTTACGTCACTACTCCTTTGGTTTATTGGTCTTATCTTCAAGTTACCACCACTACCCTTTTCTGCACTTTGGCAAGACTCCGAAGAATGGCTCGTTTTTATCTTTTTATTGTTTCCTTGAACAATGGAATCCTATTGCTTCTCTCGCAATTCGTATTTCCCATTCAAGCAACCCACTTTACTGTATTCGCCTTCAAGGCACTTTGCTGTTTCATGTTCATGAGCTTAGCCGAAGTTGACAATGTCTGGGTCTTTTTCTTACAAGGAACATTGGTTGTTGGCACTCCCAACCCTTTGGCAAATGGGTCCAACAACCGTTTCATTGCGATCTAACGTTCCTTACCTCATTGGAACTTCATCGCCCTACCTTTCATACCTGTCCCCATCTTTGATAGGCTTCAGTAAGCATTCTTAAGCCTCGTCTTCTGCATTATTTGTCGTGTTTACCTATTAAGTATGTACTCAGCACATACACTCCCCCAAAACTCGATTCACGAGGTTTAGTTTTCCTCGCAGTACATTTCTATGGCTTAGTGAATGGGCTGTCGATCAGGCTCTGACAAAGCCCCAGGAACAAATTCTTCAGGAACCCTTTGGAACTAACTGTAGCTTGTGTGTATTTTGGCGAGCTATTGCTGCCTGAGCTATGCCACCAGCATTAAGATATCGTTGAGTAACACTTTTGTATAGGTTATTTGATCGCTGAGTTGCAGCACGTCGCCGTGATCAGAAAGTATCGGCATTTACTTTGTTTCTTCAGGAATTCTCTGGGTTGCAGCTACCTAAAGGTAGTCGACACTGACACGCACCAAGCTGCTTTGAACCTTTGTCTTAAGTAACTGATGCATTCTGCATTAATATGCATGGGTTAGCCTCAGTCTACCGCCTGACCTCTTTCGCGAAATTAAGGTATCAATTTTAAACTCCGATCACGTTTAAGTCAAGCATGTATTCTTTCGCTACCGGTAGTGTTTTTATCGGTGTGATTGAGATGGGTTGTTTTGATAAACAAAAGTTAGAGAAATTCACACATGTGCGCGCACACACACACACACGCACACAGGCAGAACTTGCTAAATGAGCGTGGTGGCTGTGTGTGTGCATGACTGCTTACGCCATAGGCATTAGTATATGCGCACCATGGTCGCGCGCCACTTATTGGCCCGCACGGTTTGACGCGTTCGCGCACCATGCAAGCCGCGGCACTTGCAAGCTGACGAGCATGCAAGCACATGTGTGTGCGTATGTGCATGTGTGCTCCGCAGGTTGTGTCATCATCGTTGTGCCTCTCTTTTTATTACTCTCGCTGCTCACTTGGCATCTCTCCGTCTAGCATCGCTGCGACACCCAATCGACGTTGAGTCTCAACTCACTCTGCAGTCTAATATGGCATTCTAGTATAAAACCGTGAGATTCGTCGATTGGAATCGGCGTCATGGGTTAGCATTTGTGTCCACCATCTCTTATACTTGAATACAAAAAAACAGCATGCATTGTTAACGAAGCATGAGAGTTGACTGTTGCGTGGTCGCCTGAATACTCTCTTGTGGACAAAGTCATCTTCCAAATGGGTTTTCTTTGTAGTTGCAGCATTGTCTGCTAGCGCAATCATTTGCTCGCTTAACACATCAGCAAGTCCCAATCTCATGAACCCCTTGCCGAAGGAATCATGAGAAAATTTTCGGAATTTTGGTGTTTATTCGCTTCGAGCGAAGCACACCGCTGTTTGCATTTGTGCTTATTCATATTCCTATACCTGAACAACAGTCGGACTGTGGTAATTGCATTAAGCGACAAACTCAGAAGTTGTTATGCTGTGAGGAGGCATTCGATTCGCTTAATTACTTCAACACACTTGGTAAAAACACGTACCTCTGGTTTATTTTTTGCTTGTGTTTGGTCCCGTGGTCTTTGCTGTTCGACCACCGCACCATAGTGATGAGCATGGTACACGAACGCCTTACACTCCGTAGGCCTTTAATCACCCTTAAAAAGAAACCCGTTATATAATGTTAACCCGCCCCAACTGGTTCACTGGCTCGTTTGGTATTTCAATGAAAACCTCGACATTCGGCTTGGTGGCAATTTTCGGCACCCACGCTGCAGTTAAGTAAACAGTAAATAATCACATTCATCAGAATAAAGTAAACCATTTTGTATCAGTAAGTCATAACCGGTCGTCACTTGGAATGCAACGTCAACGATGAATACTTTCTGTCGTACCATAGTGCTACGCTGTGTCGATTTCTCCAATTGTAGCTTCAGACAAAATAATTAGTGAAATGCACTACTGCTTGGTGGTTTCTGTAGCAATCCATCACTTTATTTTACTGAAGCTTCATGTACTAGGAGACGCCGGATTTATCTTGTTGTTCTTCAATTTCGTGTTTTCCGGCGATGGCTACCGCTACTCCATTTGATTTGCATCGATTTGTCAACAGCGGTCTGCTTGTATTTACTTCGCATGTTTTGTCAATTCTGGTATACTGTTGACTCAATAACTAATTAAATGTAGCCCGAGTTTCATCACATTGGTGATTGAGCTCAGTCCATAGCCCACAATGTGTTGAGGAGACGATTTAGAGCACTAGTTTGAGAGCACACAACGATCCGGCCACAATGGTTGTTCGTTTAGTTTGTCCTGGCGTGTGGTTTTACCTCGGGACAGTGAGTCATCCACGGTGTTGGAGAGCCGTGTACTTGGTTGGTGAACCTTAAAATTACGTACGAGAACCAAGTAAACTGTAAGGATGTCGTCTTATCACTATTCCAACGTCTCGTGTTCTTATTGTCTGTGTCTCTCATAAACCGTATTTTCCTCATTTCGCCCTAAAATCACTTTGTCCTTTGTCGTTTGGTGCCGTCTCTCACGACTGCCAAAACTCAGTAAACCCGCCCCCTCCCAAGTGTTTTATTGGGTTACAGGCTCTCTGAATCGTGCCCATGGACGTGGGTGTGTTTCCACATATTTCCTCCGCTTGTTAGGGAATAGTAGCTTTGTTGTACGTTTACGGTAGTCTTTGCTCCTACGATTGATTTTTTGGTTTTCTTGGGTAGTGTATTGTCTGTAGAACGGTAGGACGATTTGTCGTAAACTAGATGCGAAGCATTTTGTGGGAGTCCGTGCGAATACGTTTTTGGCCTTACCGTTTGTTGTCTTCAGGCGATGCCGTTTACCCACAGGCGTCTCTTGCCAGGGTGATTTAATTGCACTTTTCCTTCTGCTAAAGCCTCGCCTACGAATCTCTGTGTGTGTGTGTGTAAGCAATTTAACTGGCGTCGTCGACTGATGGCACGGGGTATCCTCTCACGTGGTGCCTCTTGCCGGGTATCTGCCATCACTCTAGTGATGATCCATTCCCCTTCATACGCCTGTACAAGGCGTGCCAGCCTTTTTGGGAACACATTAGGGGCATCATAGCACCCGTAGATTTAATTCGGCACTTTTAAACTTGGCATAAAAGCTTTCATTTCTGCTCCATCAGGGCAACCGAAACGACATGCCGTTTTTAGATGTTCTACTTCACGGTAAAGTTGTTTGATTGAAAGACTTGATTTTGAAATTTGCGTAGTCGTACTTTTAGCAGCTGAAGGTCAGAAGCATTCCCACGTGTTTTGTATCATCAGAATAGATAGTTTTATCGTGCGAAAGCCATTTGTTACCACTGACACGTATTGTATTCAACAATCACAATGCAAGTCTCAATTTGCAAGGAGGCAATTGATGTGTGGTGGAAACAGAGAGATTTGCTAAATCATTCGATGCGCCTAATGAACAAGACTATTCTGTTTGACTACTGCATTATGCGTTTGTTGTTCTTAATTATGCAACAGGCGCCTTTTCCTCTAGTCCTATTATTGTACATCGTGAGTGTCCACCAGCCATGCAGTGGACGGTCAACAGAGGCGTACTGGTACAAGCTCGTCCCAACACGTTTACCACAAGGCGGTTATCGTCTTTGGCCCCCCTTACTTCTCAGTGGTTCACATGCAACCTGTTTTAACTCGAAGCCACAGTTCCCGTGTGAAAGTATTAATTTTTTTCATTTTCTCTGGTTTGCAGTGTGATGGACGTGTGTGTCTAGTCGGTCTGCCAGGTTGTCTCGTCTTTTCACCGTTTTTATGGGTTTCCGTGGGTGTACAAGGAAAAGAGGATTGCAAAGTAGGCACAGCCACTTCATCTGCAGCCATCAGCCTCGCTAAGCCACTTCATTCCCTCGCCCAGTTTGGCATTGACATCTACTTAAGCCATCTAGTGCACATTGCCCATATTAGCAAGCGTGATGAGTTCACTGACTTTCGCGATTCCGATTGGAATCCACAACCAGCCTGGTTCCTAATAAGTGTACACACACGATGTTTAAGTGGTTGAAACGTGGTACTGATGTGCTTTGAGTCTCTTAATACTAAGGTGGCCATTTGTAGGCGGGATTGTTTGGTGTATCATCTACTTCAAATTACTGAATCATGAAAAGCCGCCGTGCCTTTTTTGAAACAAAAACTTGGTAGGCTCTTGAAGTTTCGTTTCCCGTCCTTGTCAATCACTCAAATCGGTTTCTTAAGGCTATGTGGGGCATCAATGTCTTATTTTTATTTGCACACTCACGGGCACCCATTGAGCTTGCAGGGACTATTCCTCTACCGATTTAGTTTTTCGATTCTTTTGGCAATACATTGAAGATGATCTCACGAATTCGCTCGATTCAACTAAGGGGAAGTGTATAATTTAGATGCTCCTAACGTCATCATCATCATTACCACCAAACCTTCCCTTATGTAAAAAGAAAGGCCAAGAACTTTTCCCTCTCCTACCGTTAATCCGAAACCTGAAGGATACGTAGAATTCAGTGGTCTCTTGAATTCCTGGTGCTCTTATAGTAGTAATGCTAACCAATCAGGCATATTATAAGCAATTCTCCATTTTGCCTTTAGATCAACCAATTCAGCTGCCTAAGGCTGCAACATCAATGAAGAAGCCTATGACAGATGGAACAGAGGCTCTGGGTACAATGACGTTGCCGTCAGATCCAGCCGCCACATCTGTACCCCAGTCTACGGCATCACTTTCTGTCCCTTCAACTGGTACCACCTCGGCAACCACAACGGCAGTTACACAGGTCGGCGTTCCCTCTCTTTCTCTTCCCTCCAAGACCCAAACAGAAGCTCTACAGTCGGTTTCTGAAATCCCTAAATCGATAATCATTTCCGCCACTGCTGGTACCCCTTTGGACCCCCTCGTCACCCCCACTTTCGATTTCTCTCGTGTTAAACCCAATCAACTGCAACAGCAAACCCAAGCAGCGGGAACCGCCACAACACCCTTTAGTTTCCAGCTCATTCAAACGCCTCCTGGTGCTAGTCCAACAATGCTCTCTCAGGTAGTGACTGAGGCTCATAACACACTCCAGTCGCCCGCTGCAACTGGTCAGCCGAGTTCTCACATCTTTGACTACCCCCAGTTTATTGGCGACTTCCAGAACACCACGACACCACTCTTCTCCCCGGCAATTATTCTTAACACACAAGCTCTTCTCTCCCCCTCAGCAATCGATTCCGATGGACAGAGGGCTGGAACTGGTGGGGGGTCAGCGATGACCTTTCCATCATTCCTGAATGCCCCAGGATCAACGCCAATATTCTCCTTTCTCTGTTCAAGTCCTGGTGCGAAAGGCGGGCAGAGTTTAATTTATACGCCTTTCGCAACAGGGCAAGAGACAACAACCACGGCGGGCACACCCATTCTGTTCCCAGCGACTGCCTTCTTTTCCTCCTCGCATTCAGCAGACAGTCTTCTCGCCTCGTCTGCCGACCAACAACCCATGGAGCACTCCTCCGGGCTCCCTCCTGCCAGTCAGGTTTTGAACCTCACAAAACCAAGTGTCCCCGACCCAGCTCCTCCCGTTGAGAATGCTGCTGCGCCTGTGCTCTTGGACCCGCCGAAGGCACCACAGGAAAAGACAGTGGCGAGAAACCCGCCTGGTCGGCGGACTTCGAGGTGGGCCAAACCGTCCGCTAGTGGTGGAAAAAATAACAAGCCTGCTTCGAAGGAGGGCGCCGAAAAGCCTCACAAGTGTTCCGACTGTCCGAAGTCGTTTTCGAGGTCAGACGAGCTAACTCGACATAGGAGGATTCACACAGGGGCCAAGCCCTTTCAGTGCACCACTTGCCACCGATATTTTTCACGATCCGACCACCTGACAACACATAGACGCACCCACACCGGGGAGAAGCCCTTCTCCTGTGAGCACTGTGACCACAAATTCGCAAGGTCTGATGAAATGAAACGGCACGCAAAGACCCACGAAAAGCAGGCAAATCAGGCATTGTCTGGTAAAATTCCCTCCCACAGCACCGTCGCTTCGCGTAAAAAGCCAAGGCCTTTGCCGCACAGTCTTGGAAATGGCCGACAGCCGTCAATAGTTGCGCCCACACAAACCCAGCAATTTATCTTCCTTAACGGGGATGATTTTAGCGCCGCTTCTCAGGGCTTTCAGCTTGATCTTGGGGGAAGGGGCGATAAAGCTAGTGATTTTGGAGCTCTTCAACCCATCAATTGTTCGGCTCCTCCGTCTTCAAGATCAGGTTCGAACAGCCAGCCACCATCAGTGGAATACCTAGCACAGATCCAAGCAAATTCTCTGTCTCAGCAGCCTCCACCCATGTAGATGTGTTTGCATTATTACGTCGCCCAGGTCTTTCTTTGTGTATCCTGCTATCCACCAACCAGCTTCTCCAGCCATTTCTTGGTTCTACTATTTTTTCATGATCACTAATCGGTTTCACTGAGTCCCTCAGATTATTGTATACGTATATGTACATGCATACATATGTATGAGTTCTTATTTTTTGGCTGCATCCCTTCATGCCGATGAACAGATTTTACCACACACAAACTCGCGCCCCTCGTGTTTAGGTGGCGCGTGTACGTATGTTTTTAATTCTTACCACCCCAAGACTGCATCCTAATTGATCTATTAATAATCGAATTTTTTTCAGAAGCGCCGAGTAATTGTGCCTATGAGTGATTTTACTGGTGACTGGATAAACGCTAACAATAAATAGGCGCCAGACTAATTTTGGCTCTTTTGTTTTTCTCCTTTTTCAAATCACTTTT